AACGATTCAGCTTAATTTATTCTTGGAATACATGTATAAATTCTTTTCAAAAATGCATTGAACAAAAAGATATAGGCACATGAAATACGAAAAGGTCCCTAGGGACCTTCTCACAAGTCGAAGGGTTAACGGCGGTTGCTTAATAGTAAGGCTCTTCACGCCCATTTCAGTAGTTCTAGTAAACTGATAGTTGGTACTCGGTAATTTTATCAACGGTAATTTTGTAACAGAAAATTGAAGGAATTTTACTTACTCATATGCGTTATGGCTTTCGGCAACGGGAGGATTTACAATTGAGTAAATATTGAACAGCTGATTGCAGTTTGCCAACCACCAGAAAAATTATCCAGCTTTCACCACGATAATATGAAAATTACCGCTCACCGAACTACCTAGTACCAGTACCATGCTCGGTGTGAAAACGCCCATGTATTGTCTTTATAATTAGTTTTACTTTTGTACCCACTTTCCAGCAAGATCCAGTTACAATTATGTTCATAATGTTCATGTTTAGGGGCTTCCGTACGCAAAAACTACCAAAGTAGGGGAATTGGGAGAGCGAAAATGACAGCTGAGCTTGCAAGTTTCACCGGGTTTTTACGATTACCGATTAGAATGAGTGGAACGTGAGTTTTCAAGTGAAAACTGGTTTTCGTGTTACAGATTTTACATGGACGAAAACACAAGTTTTAGGTCGAAAACCAGGAAGCTTCTTATGGGGTTTTTATAGTTGAAATTGAGGAAATAAACATTTTTACATGCAAATTATTACTGGTTTAGCGTTCACGCACATTTTTGGAGAGCGAGTTCTCAGAAATCAAGTTACCGGAATTGCTGGCCAGTTACTGGATAATTTTTACATAAACAAACCTATTAGCTTGACGCCTAATAATATTACAGGCTAACCTAATATTCGCGGCTTGCGTTTTGGTATGCATGCCGTCGAATTTGTTTTTTTGCGTCACCCGAAATTGGCTTGCGTGCATTTCCATTTGATGTCATGGAGCGAAACGTCAAATCAAAATGTCACGCAAAACAAAAATTGGAAATTGAGTTAAAGTGTGTTCACATTTAAATATTATTTCAATCAAAGCTTGTTTTTTAATCACCCCGTTTATACAGGCAAATCTCAGATTATTAGCCGTCAAATTTTTTGACCTTGTTATTCTCACATCTTAAGGAAAGGTAATGTTTCGTCTCTGTGCCACTGTGGTCACTTTTTTCTGCTATATAAAGCAATTTAAATACGTTTTAACTTAATATTTTATTACAAATACCTTTACAAACCTCTTACTTGCTAGCGTCCTTTTTTGTTTACTTTTACATTTGGCATTTCCCCATCTTCTTCGCAAAAATAATCGATAAAAGAAGGTTGGACACCGAAAAGTTATCGGTTAAATCTGAGATTATTTTATAATTACAGATTAGGGAGTTAAGCTCGAAAATGAGGATAATCTACTTATATGTGAACATTATTATTATTGTTATGGGCCATATGCACCGCGACCTCTAAAGTGGTCTATTGTGCGTGGCCCCCGGCCTATAAGGGAAGGCTCTTAATGTAGCCTAGCACCTCCAAGGGCGTTTTGTTCCAAATTTCAAATGGATTAAGGGTAGCGCCACCAAAGTGGGCTAGTCTGCGCCTAGCGAGAGCATCACATTCACAGAGAATGTGTTCTGGCGTTTCTTCGTCCAGCTCACAGAAGCGACAGACGCTTGTTTCTGAAAGATTGATTTTACTGAGGTGGTAACGAAGAGAACAGTGTCCCGTGTAGTACCCAGTGAAAGTTTTGAGGTCCTCTCTGCCTAAATTGATTAGTTTCTTTGAAACTTCGTTTGAAGGGCAGATAAATCGTTTGGCTTGTCTTTGCCCTGGACATTCCATCCAATGCCTGTTGAACATTTTGTCTACCCAGTTATTCATGGTCCCCTTTATATGTGCTTTGGTGAGCCCACAAAAGGGTTCCGGACCATAAAATACTGCGGCAGCTCCCTGTTTCGCTAGGCAGTCAGCCTCCTCATTGCCATCATGTCCCTCATGCCCTGGTACCCATCCTAATAAGACTGTATTCTTGTCACCAAGAGCATTTAGGACATTGCGGCAATCATGTACTAGCTGAGAACTTATTTTGTGGGACTTCAGGGCCAGTAGGGCTGCCTGACTGTCCGACATAATGCAGATATATTTCGATGACGTTCCCCTTCTGAGACATTCTCTGCCACAAATTTCTATTGCATGAATCTCCGCCTGAAAGATGGTGGGGTAGCTACCCATTGGTATCATTTTTTTAAAGTTCGGCCCAAAAATGCCAGCCCCCGTTCTACCATTTTCAAGCTTAGATCCATCAGTATACCAAACCTCCCCATTGGGTTTGGTGTATGGGTTCCCTGTATTCCAGAGAGCTCGATCTGCAATGTGTACCTCAAATTTCCTAGAGATTTCTAGTTTTGGAACCATTGCATCGCGCATTTGTAGTATGGGGTCATTAGCGAATTTCATTAGGACCTGCATGTGACCCGTCATATCTCCGATTTTCAGGTCGGAGGTGTTCAGGATTCTCAGTGCCGCTGTGGTAGCCTCCCTTTCTATTAAAATAGGAAAGGGAGGTATTCCAACCAGGGCGCTGAGTGCATCGGCCGGGCAGGTCTTCATAGCTCCTGTTATGCCAATGCAGACTATTCTGTGCAATTTACTTAGCTTAGTGCTTGCACCTCTTTGTGTAACCTTAGTCCACCATGCTAAGGAAGCTCAGCATGTTCAGCTTCATTCTCAAGCTCCTGTTTGGTTGTAATGGGGTGTTTGGGGCTGTTTCCGCCCTCTTCTATAGTAAAGCGGAAGAGTTCCCAGTTCGTTTTCCTGGGATTTCTGAAAACTAGTTCGTGTTCAGGAAAGAGACCCATGTCGAATTCTATATGCATGTGGTCCGACATTGATACCTCCCCGGAGACACGCCAGTTTGTGACAGATGATGACATGTTTTGACTGCTTAGAGTTAGATCCAAGACCTCCCCCCTTAAAGCATTTCTAAAAGTCCGTTCATTGCCACGATTTATAATATTTATATTATGACTACTAATAAACTCGAGGAGGTACTCACCCCTTTTGTTGGTATCGGTGCTGCCCCAAACAGTGTTATGTGAATTGGCGTCACAGCAGAGGATCCAGGGTTTACCACTCTGCTGGCAGTGCTCCACGAAAGCCTTTACTTCTGCTGTTGGGGCCATCTCCTCCTCAACCGGAAAGTACGCTGAGGCAAGTACTGCCTCTTGTACACCCCTTGGAGTGGGAATTTCGGCCCAAACCGCAACCAGATCCGCCGTCATTAACTGTAATAGAGGAAGAAAAGTTAGTTTTTTGCTTAATAGCATCGCCGCCCTTGGGCGAGGGCTGGGGGCATATATGATCTTACCATCATTGACGTTCAGACCTTTGACCTCACCGCGTAGTATCCAGGGTTCCTGGATGAAGGCTATACCTAGACCCTCGTTAGTGAACCTCCTGCAGAGAACAGCTGACGCTGCCTTGGCATGATGAAGATTCACTTGGAGGGATTTCAGATGCCTCGAGTTTGCGTTGTGCTTAGGGAGAGATGGCATTATTTGCGGTCTCTACGGCCGCGAGCAGCCACCTTCTTCCCCCTATTTCTACCCCGCAAGGCCTTCTCCTCGGCTGTCCAGTAGCCGCTTTGAGTAGCCGCTTTGGAACTGCCATATAGTGGTGGCCTAATTATATTCCGGGGGAGCTCAATGGGCCTGACATTTTCTTGGGCTCTTTCTAGCACCTGCTGCAGGGTCAGGACCGATGTTGCTGTGGGTCGCGGAGGCGATGTCGCACTGGCTTGAGCTACTGACAGCTCAGGCGGCGGTTTTGTCTTCTCCAGCTCCGGTGATTGCTGCTTCTGTGCTTGAGGATCTGTTGAGAGCTGCCTCGGGGCGACGGTGACAGACTTCGAACAACAGGGTTGTTCGTCCGTGCCCGTTCCGTCGGTATCAGCGGCGTCCTTTGCTACCACTGGTACCAACGGCTTGGCTTTTTCCCTCAACTTGACCGTACCGTAGCCGTAGTTGACAACATTTCCTCTCTGTTTGAGGATGTCTGCCGAGATCGGGTCTACCGCAATGGTGATTTCTACCACTGTGGACTTGCGCACCCGATTTAGAACTCGCCAGTCCATTATTTTGAGGCCTTCATTCTGCCCCTGAAGAAGTAGTAGCGCGTCCTCATTCCTGGAGCTATCCAGCTCCGGGAAGAATCCCACCAAAATTATGGGGCGAGGCGTTTCTGTATCCGCTACCACCTTCATCTTTGCCCCTTTCCAGGGGGCAATCTTCGGAACTGTAGCCCTTATCCTCTCCGCAGTTACTGCGTCCCTGCAGATAATGGATAACCATCCCGGACGAAAAGTGCAGCCATCAAAAATAGGCTTTATAGCGCTATCTTTGTTGCCTCTTATCGCCCTAAGGATGGCATTCTGAATGGCCGTCAGTTCGTCCGTCGACCAGACCGTAGCCGGATAGTTCTCGGGGACTATACCCAGCTTCACCTCACACAGTGCGTCCCTAAAGGATGCTGGTTTCACGGCCTTTCCGGCGTCTTCACGAGGCAGGCTTGCCTCGGTCGTGGGCATTGTTACTGCCCTAGCCGGCTCAGCTCTCGCTGCGCCGTCCATAAATTTGGAGACCTTCTTTGGGGCTTGCTCCTGTGGAGTGGAGCTCTTTGATCGGGTTCCTTTAGCCGATCTCTCCTTTTGAGGGGGCCCAATGGGCTCTTTCGCTAATTTCCTAGCCTCCTCATAGCTCATACCCTTCTCCAAATAGCGCTTGAGGCGTTTTCGACCGGCTCCACTAAGCCGATCTCGCTCTCGAGTTTGGACGAGAGTATCATTACCTGTCGGAGAGGCAAGCAGCTTCTGCTCATCCTCTGGCGAGATATCAGAAAGCGTTTTGACGGGACTCGCATCCCGTCTAGCGCTGGTGTCAACCATCTCAACGTCATACTGGGGACTATGCGCCCCCGGTAGTTCTGTGGGGACAGTCCCCGTTTCGGCGGCTGCCGAAATGCCATGCCCGGCCTCGACTGCGAGCTGTTCAGCTCCATCTGTTTTCTTTGTTATTGTTTTTTTGTTTACGTTATTCATAGTGTTCCCACGAGTATGGGGGATAGTAGTACCGCTAGGACATAGCCCCCACTATCCCGAGCGGGGCTTCTTACAACCAGAGGTCGCCAGGTATCTGGAGGCCACCGTTATAAAACACACTAACGTAGTGCCATTCATCCCATAAGCACGGTACGGATGACACTCGGAATTACGGGTTTTATCGAGTTGTCCTCTCTAGATCCGCCATATTCAGTAAAAGCAGGGGCACCTCTCGCAGGGTGTGACTCTTCGCCACGTATGGTCGGTCTTGAGCCAACTGCTCCTGACTCAGAGCATTGCACCACGTATGGAACAATACCAAGAGCCTTGACCCCCATATGTGAACATAGTATTAGCTTCATACGCACGCCGTTCAATTTCAGTTGGTCTCATACAAGTTGCATGTGC